GAGAGAGAGAGAGAGAGTGGTTATATAGGTAGAGCCACGCACGTGGCCTGCGTGTAGTCCCACACGCGTATCGTCCTGCAAGGATGGAGCGCGAGGTAGAGAGTAACTATATAGGTGGAGCCACTTGCATTGCACGTGCGCTCGCCTGTCTGCCGGCGGTGGCAGCAGCAGTCGCCCGAAGATTTCGAGTGCGATGGATCGCGGGTGTTTCGCGATAGATTCGTATTTATTCAATTATTATAATCACAGTCGTGATAATAAATATATATATATAAATAAATATATGTGACAATATAATATATATGATATTAATACAAGCGAGTAATGAATACTAAAAATCAGGTAACAAACCGGGAAATACAGCAATTATGACAAAAAACAGGGTTACGAATCAGTCCGAGATCAAAATGGAATTTGCATAACAGATGGCGTTACCGCGGCGACCGGCGTACTCACTTATCGTCTGCTCCGCTGCATAGGATCCCCTCTCTAAGCGGTGACCAGCGAACGCTGAACACCTTCGCTGTGTGACCTGTGACGAGAAAGATAACGTCACAAGACGCGTCAACCGTCATCCCGTGTCGAGACGAAAGTGACAGAGAACGCAAATACAACCGCTCGCGGATGCATGCTTTAAACAGATTACTTTTCTACCACCCATCCATCATAGCCTTAATGAGCTAACAACTACATGCCTGTCATAGTCCATAATTACCTAACTACTATACTAGCTATAACCTTACTACCTATTCACTATATCCCTAACTGCCTAAATACCATGTACCTGCCATACCCTTAACCCTTTATCTACCATCTACCAACCATACCCTCAATCAGCTAACTACCACATGCCTGTCATAGTCTATAATTACCTAACTGACCATAATACCTTGTCATTATATCCAGCGTAGTGGACACCGACAAGTATGAGAACATAACATAACATAACTGCGATCAACTCACCATACACCTAACTACCTAAATACCATGCACCTACCATACCCCTAAACCCTTTCTACCATCCAACCACCTCTTCTTCCCCATAAAAGTGACTTACTGTCCATATGATTTTGTGTGTATTTCACACGATTAAAAGTAGCACGGGCCCACTGCATGGCATGCAAACAAATCATACACACGGTATCGCGAATTCATGAACGCACGCACACACGCACAAACACACACACACGCACACACGCACACACACAGTGACACACACACACATATATATACATGT